AATGGTGCACCCATCACCACTGTAACTGAGTTCATCCACCTTGCTGCTGGTCTTCCTCTTCTCTTTCCTTCCACCTTTCCCAGCATTAAACCCTTCTCGAGAGAGCTAGGTCTGTGCATAATGTGTATGCTAATTTGACCCTGGTCATTTGTGCCTCAAGTGAGAATGCTGGGTTCATTTGTTCAATTATCCATTTGTTTGTTTTCTTGGCTGTCCATGATATTCTCAAGAGTCTTCTCCAACACCAAAGTTCAAAAGTGTCAATAGTGCAGGTTATTGATGTTTCCTTCTCCAATTTTAGAACCATGCTCATCTTCTTCCAGTCCAGCTTCCCTTAATATATATTCAGCATATAGGTTGAATAAAAAGGAGAGAGTGTACAGACTTGTCTCACTCCTTTGCCAACCTGGAGCTAGTCTATTTCATTGTCTTCTGTCTGTGCTATGCTGGTCTGACCTGTATATAGTGTAGGTTTTGCATGAGGACAATGAGATGTTCTGAGATTCTGATTTTTCTAAGTACATTCCACAGCTTGACATGATTGACACAACTTAAGGTCTCTCTATAATCAATAAAGCACATACTGATTTCTTTTTAGTATTCTTTTTCTTATTTATCCAGCATGCTTCAACAATAATGTCTTATGTTCTTCAGCCTTTTCTAAAGGAAGCTTGAAAAATTACAGCCAGAAAAAGATGAGAACTCAGATGGAGAAATGTTAATATGGGCAAATGCTGGTACAAAGACAGAATGTAGGATGTGGTTTGTTGTGAACAATGGATGACAGAGGTAGTGAATATGCTTGTGTTTAAGAGCACGCTCCTTTAAATCCATCAACTTCAATGGATTTATTTTAACTGAAATACCTTTTATAATGTTGTCTTCTAAATATTTTCATAGACCATGGGTGAGAAAACATATTCTCACTGAGTGAACCAATAGGGAGACCTAATAAAAATTTGGAGAGGAGTTTCGGATAAGAGATTTAGGAGGAGTTCCTAAAACATTCACTCCATCCAAGAATTTGTACTTAGTTTACCTGAAAGCCCAAGAAAGAAAGAAGAAATAGAAGCTTTCTATTAGTGATGCTGTCAGAGGATGGGAAAGGGACATGCACATCCCACATACACATACAGTGGTGTTTTCAACTAAGGTGCTGTTTATTGTAATATTTACAGGGCAATTTAAAACGTAAGTGAAGATGAACAGGAGTTTGAAATTGTGATCAGCAATGCTTTCTGAAAACTAACTGTGATATGGCAGATGTGGGTCTTCCGGGCTGTGTGGCCATGTTCTGGAAGTTTTGGTTCCTAACGTTTCGCCAGCATTGGAACCACAAAACGCAGCATCCATGCCAGGATAAAAGAACATGAAAGACACTGCAGACTACGGCAACCGGAAAAATCTGCAGTAGCTGAACATGCTCTCAAGCACACTGGACACAAAACCCTATCTGAAAACACAGAGATACTGGACAACACCAACAGCCACCATACCAGGCTATACCGGGAAGCCATTGAAATTCACAAACACCGGCACAGTTTCAATAAAAAAGAAGAAAGTCTAAAAATCAGCAAAACCTGGCTACCAATCCTGAAAAATACAGCCTGCAAAAGGTCAACAAACTCAGCTCAAGCACCAGGACGCTTGAATAATTCCCACCATGAACATGCTACTCACCCTCAGCAGCCACTCATTAACAACTCAACACAAAAAACCCTGCCTAATCCCCAGAAAGATATATGCATATGCTGATGCAAAACCTGGCTACCAATCCTGAAAAATACAGCCTGCAAAAGGTCAACAAACTCAGCTCAAGCACCAGGACGCGTGAATAATTCACACAATGAACATGCTAATCACCCTCAGCAGCCACTCATTAACAACTCAACACAAAAAACCCTGCCTAATCCCCAGAAAGATATATGCATATGCTGATCTCCAAAATAAGCAGCCACTCATTAACCCACAACCCCCACCATCACCCTTGCAGGCACCCTCGCTTATCTCCATAAATACCCACAAAAGAGTCACATCATCCTGGGCACAGAGAGAACCGCTCCTGTCTGTGCTCCTGTCCTCTGAAGATGCCAGTCACAGATTCTGGTGAAACGTTAGGAACCAAAACTTCCAGAATATGGCCACACAGCCCGGAAGACCCACATCAGCCATCGTATGCCGGCCGTGAAAGCCTTTGACAATAACTGTGATATGTTTGCAGCAAGCTTGCAGCAGTACTTAAAGAAAAAGTCAAATACTAGAGCAGCACGAGACCAAACATCACTTAATTTTCTTGACTGCTGGCACCAGATGAGTTGCACATCAAAAAGACTGGTAAAAATCTGCTTGGTCAAAGTATGGGACATTTGATTTGGAAGGCTTTAAACTGAATCCAGTGGGAGTGGAAATGAAAACCCTAATTCAAGGATCTCCAATAAAGACTTCTGCACAGTAGAAAGTTGGAGTATTCCTGAAATGGGGCTTCTGAAAATATTAAAAGAAAATTCAGGGGGAAAAAAAGCATTAGACTATTAAGGCCTTGGCCTCTGTTGTTTATACACTGATGCTCATAATATGGGAAATAAACAAGCTTCAGCTGTCAATATTGAAGGCCAATATAATTAATAGGCATAACAGATACCTGGTGGGATGATTCACATAACTAGACTACAGCAACCAGAAGATACTGTGATAGTCTGCAGATGGAACAGAAGCAACAGAAAAGGAGGAAGAATTGGCCTAGGAGAAAATTAAAAGCAATACTGTTTTTGGTGTCTTCTATTGCCCTCCCATCCACAGGGATGTTGATGATGCCTTCCAAAAGCAACTTGCAGAGGGACCATGATATAATCTGAAATCATATCAAGAAGTGTATATATGGACCCAGTACATAAATATATTAGCAAGCAACTTAGTATGACAACACTGTGGAATTCTAATCCATAATAATAACCCCATTTTACTGTCAGCCATGCAGCAATTGGTCTCACCTTGGATATCCAGATGAATGGCCATAATCAGCAATGCCCAGTGGAGAGTAGTTGAGGTTGTCTCTGTCCCAGCAACAAAGAGGTCAGCAATGCAGTGAGCCAAGTTGTCTTCATCATAGGTAGAATTGGGATCATTCTTGCTCTGTGTTTAACAGTAAGTATGGTGAAGTGGTATTTATAAGCATGTTTCTATTATTGCCCATACTTTCCCAACTTAGCATTCTCTTGTTCTAGTCCATGGGCCATATTGTGTGTGTGGGGGGGAGGGGAATAGGCTTGTTGTCCAAAATGAGTCTGGGGATGGTGAATATAAATATTGGGACATAATAGAGTGTAAGCTGTAGTTTGAGAACTTCAGGCTTAGTGATGTTAACATCTGGATTGCATTATCAAGCTATCATGGAAGTGATATACAGGTAGTCCTCAACTTATGACCATTCATTCAGTGACCATTCGAAGTTACGGTGGCACTGAATGAAGGGATTTACAATCCATGGCCAGAAGCCACATGTAGCAAGTGTTCACCGGAGAAGCTGAGCCAACCCCCCAGCACTTTCCCACTGGGAAAAACTGCTTTCACCCTTCCCCATTGACTGGAAATCTTATTTACATTCAGTGAAGAAGCTGAACCGGGGCTGCTTTTTACTTTAAAAAAAAAAAAATTGCAGCATGAAAAGGCACCAATGGTCTTTCTAGAGACATATTTGACTTTACTCATCATACAGAAACAGTGGGAGAAAGAATTGTGTAGGCAATGTTAGAAAAGATCAGAGTAAATGGGGGCTTCCTTGATGGTCTCATGCACTTGGTCCTCCCTGTATGGATTTGGACCCAAGAACATTAGAACCCAAATACAGATGGGGTAGATCAGACCAAATCCCATCTTAGTTCAACATTTTATTGGTCAATGAGATGCTTCTGGGATGTTCACAATCAGGAAAAGGTAGACATATCCCTTTCCTATTACTATTCCCCTGCAATTGGTATTTGGAAGCATTCTGGCTCCAATGAGAAGATAATACAGAATCTTCAAGATGAATAACCCATGACTGATATGTCTTGCACATATTTAACCAGACTCTTTTTAGCGCTAAATTGGTGGCTTTTACCATGTCCACAGGTTAATATGTGTTGTACCTCTTCCAACTCTTCTGCTCAGCTTTATTGGATGATTCCTGGTTCTAATGTTTAAAGGGAAGAAGAAAACTTATCCTTGTCCATTTTCTGCTAACTATGTGTGGTTATATACAAATCCATCATTTCCCTCATAAATTGCCTTTCTTCTAGGCTGAAGAAAGAAAAGACCAGGTTGGTTTGGCAAGATTTATTGTTGATAAGCCCATGCTGACTCCTGAGACACAATACTTTCTTTTCTAAACACTCACAAACCAACTACTTAATAATCTCTGCCTAAGTTTCATTTATTATCAAAATCTAGCTGACTACTCTAAAAATTACCCAAATCCTCTCCCCCCCCACCTCCTGCCCCACACACACATTTTTTGAAGACAAGAACTACATTTGCCACTTCCTCTTTTGTTAACTATTCTTCTTAGTTCCATTTGGACACAGTTTCCCATCAGGGAGAAAAGTGATGGAAAATAGGGGGAGAGGAGCACTGCCCTCTTCCTATCATCTGTTACTGTTGTACCGGCTTCTCCTAGCGGTGGGCCCATGCCTTCTTTTTTTTTCCTTTTACTAATGGTGTGGCCAAAAAAATCCTTTTTGTGGCTTTTAGCTTCTCTTCTGAGAAGACGTCAGCTAAGCAAACTACAGTTTATGCCTCACCATCTTAAGGGACCTCTCAAACTTTCACTTTTTTACATTTGTTATAGTTGTAATTTCATTTATGAAAGCCTCCAGAAATTAAACCCTCCTGTATGGCTCACATGGCCCTCAATTAATTAAGATATGCTTTCACATTTTCTTAGTGAATATGTATGCATAAGTTATCGTAAACATTCACATTTTCTGGTGGCTGGTGTGGGTCTTCCAGGCTGTGTGGCCGTGTTCTGGAAGTTTTGTTTCCTAATGTTTCGCCAGCATCTGTGACC